AACAAGAAATCAGCATAGGCCAAGCTGGCCCAGTCATAGGTCCCGACTAGCTTAAGGTCGCGGAGAGCAGGGAGGCAGTAAAGAAGTACTCAGCTACCTTTGTCAGGAGAAAAAGTCCCTAACAGCAACATAAGAATGAAAATGCGCACCCACTACTCACTGGTGGTCGCATCATCCTCAAAAGCCATCGCCAGAGTAGATCGGCGGATACATCGAGCACTAAGCATGTCGGCTCAGCCTCGGCATGGGCTCAAATAATAATCGGACCAACAAATCCTCGACAATCGGAGAAATGACAGTAATTCTACTGTCAAATGGTAGTGCAGTCGAGCAGAACTTCAGTCCCGAGATATGACTGAAGTCAGCAAGGGTGACGATCATCTTGCCCAAAGGGAAATGGAAGGTGTTGGTGGTGTCCTAGAAGAACTCCACCAAAGCTAGAACCACGTGACGGTTCGCATTAAAAGAGTGCATGGCCTGAGTGGCCCGAAACAAGGCAGTCAGCCCACAAGACTCCCATAGCCGTCGCAACTTCTCATCGTTGCGAAAATATTTGTCGTACATCAAGCTAATGGTCTCGTTACCAGAGCTGTGGCTAGGAGTCCTCTCACTAACAATCCCGCAACGCACCTGCTCAAAAATGTGGTGCTTGGGAGCGAAGAACAGAGTCCACACATCCCACTCAGGGAAGGATCCTAGAGAGGTGGATGGCTCCTCGCCCTCACTAACAGGATCGTGCTCTCGTCGAGTGTCCCTAGACCGAGAGTTGGAACCGCGTTGTCTAGCCATGATATACTATGCAAAATAACAAAAATTAAGGCTCTATAGTGTCTAAGGTTCGCCTAGCCGCATGATACTATGTTAAAAAAAAACTAAGTACGTAGTACTAAAACAGAGCATGAATTCAATCCAAGCATATATGACATTTTCGAGCAATCAAACAATTTCTTGCGATACTGTGACAATTATTGTGACAAATTGTACAAAAATAGCTAGCAAAAACGCGAAGAACAAGCCGCATTGTTCTCACGACCTCAAGGGGTTCAACAATGGTGAATTGTTCATTTCTCCACCAAATTGAGTCAAACAAGTCTCAAAATACTCCCAAGGCAATATACAAGCATAATCAAGCAATTTCGTGGCATAAAATTCAACAACTAAAGCAACTTAAGCAAAGTAAGTTTCGAATTTTTAGAAAATTTGTGAAATAACATGTAAAAATCAGCAAAATTCGAGTGAGTTTGAAGAAAACTTATATAGATCAGGAAACTAGATGAAATAAGCTTCGATTTGCAAAACGTTTGAGCGAATTTGGTTGAGAAATGAGCGAGAACGGGTGAATTGAAGTATCAGAGGCGATTCGCGAGCAAATAACAGCAGCAACGGCGAAATAAAGAACAAAGGGGATTTATTCAAAAATCTCGAGTGCAGCGCCAAACGACGAAGTTGTCGCCTAGCGACAAGCAAAAAGCGTGGCGACAAGGCTTTCAAGCAGGTGCTGGTGCAGCGACAGAGTGTGTAGCCTCGTAAAAAGGTTATGTGGACCTCATGCAGCAATTTGGGTCCCTTGGTACGCAAGTTAGCCCCTCTATGCAATTTGACATCATTTAGTAATCGGCTCGATTACAATCACATGAAGTGATCGACCTGATAAATGATCGTCTCACTTAGCTTAAAGCGCCTAAACATTGGCTCATTGCAAATGCACTGACAAAGCGGTTCATAAACAGCAGAGGCACCGACTTAGTGGTTCACAAGCAGCAAAAAGCGCCAACATACTGGCACTGCAGAAATTTCAGCAAAAATCACGGCAGCAAAGTTCAAGCGAGCTTTAAAGGATCGACTAGCGTTGGTCTTCGGTAATTTTCTTTGGAATATTATTGCAACAAATGAGGATGACTTCAAGCAAAGATATCTTCGACAGCATTCCCTAGCTTGTGGAAGGTTGTCAAAAAGCAGGAGGTAATTTTAAGCGAAGTTATCTTCGATCGTGTTCTCTGGCTTGCGGAAGATGGTCACAAGACAAATAAAGATCGTTTCAAGTGAAGCAATCTTCGATAGTATTCTATGGCTTGCAGAAGACCATCACAGAGGAAATTGGAGGCAGTTACAAGCGTAACAGTCTTCATCCAGTATCCCCTAGCTTGAGGAAAATCGTCACAACAAATTGGTTACTCCTAGAGACGTGTGCTCGACAGTGTAAGATACGCGTTTCTTAACTCTATTATCTGTTTTAACTAATGCTAGTTTGCCGGTATCGGTGTTGCAAGAATGATTTAGGATTGCAGAACGTTCTCAATCATTCTTCGTCCCTATCACTACTTTGACGTTTGTTTTCGAAACTTGTGTTTCTCCAAACTGTTGAGTAATTAGGTTTTGATGATTGTAAACCGATGATGATTATATATCTAACGTGTTTGTTGAATTGTGCATAGAAAGAACAAGTTATGCTTGGAATAGAATACAAGGAGCCTGAGCAATGTCAAGTATATATATAAGGAACCTGAGTAATGTCAAGTATATATATAAGGAACCTGAGCAATATATGATAAGCAATAGTGAAACAAGAACAATGATGAGTGTCATGATTGATAAGCATGATGATGGCTAAAGAAACATGAAGGTAACTATTTAAATAGTGTTTACATATGTTAGCTTCATGAGGTAAGTACACTATGTATACATAAGTTGTATATGTGTAGAAGTATTTACATAAGCTTTAAGTTTAATTAGTTCTCTCACTTGAAGTTTGTTTATGACAAACAAACTTCAATCTAATGATTCTCTTAAGTGTTTATGTGAAGATAGGAAATGACTTAGGTGAAGTCAATGGGTTGGAACATAGGAGACTACAATAGGAACAAGAGAGAATGAATGAATCTAAATCATGTTCTTCCACGAGAGCCAAACCACGAAGGAACCTGAAGGTATTCTCTAACAAGATCCAGAAGGAACTTTCGGCATGCTTTCCTACGAAAGCAGGAGCATGTTTCCTAGCAGGTACATGAAGAGTTCCATGTTCCCTGACAGGTATTTTAGGAGTTCCCTAACAGGAACGTTCCCTAACAGGAACTTGAAGACAACAAGTTCTGGAGGAACTTAGCCTGCGGTTCCAGAAGTGGAACGTTGCCCCAAGATCTAAAATACATCAATACTACAAGATTCCAGAACATGAGTTCAAAGAAACAACATGAAGACAGAGAAATCAAAGTATATTGCTCTAGGATTCAAGTAAGTATGTTGGACATAAAAGTCAGTCTAGAACAAGTCTAAAGAACCAAGGTGAACTCATGATAGTCAATGAAATTAGAGTTACTAACTTGTCAGAAACTCAGAGACTGTCAGAGTTCCAAAACCTAATAAGAACTTAAGTCTGCACGTCGTTAAAGGTCGGTTTAGTGATATAAATATTTACCTGATATGTGCATATCTTTTAGGGATTTGGTTTGATAGAATAAAGATATTTATTTTTTAATAAATCCCTTTTGGAAAGAGATAAGTTATTTTTGGAAAGTATTTTAAGCAAAAATAAGTTTAGAATAAAATCTGATTTTATTAAAAGTATATCTTTGAAAAAGATAAACTAGTATATTTGGAAAACATAAGTTGGGAATAAAATCTGATTTTATGTTAAGTATATCCTTTTAAAAAGATAAGCTAGTATATTTGGAAAATATAAGTTTGGAATAAAATCTGATTTAATATATTTGGAAAGTATATGTTTTAAATAAAATCTGATTTTATAGAAAATATATCTTATTATTATTGACAGAATATAATCTTAACAAAAAGATATATTTTTGGAAAACTTATTTTTAGTAAAAATCTTTTAAACATATCTTTTGAGAAAACTTATCTTTTACGAAAAAAATGATTTGGGTGTACTATAAATATGCTCATATGTATTCATTCAAAGTCGAGGCTGATGAAGTTTAGTGGTCGTGCTTAATGGTTTCATCCTTCACCACGAAGCTAAGTCAAACCTCCAGGTCAAAGTTCCAGCCAGGTTTGGTTTCAGTCCGTCCAGTTAGTTCCAGACAGATCTTAAGTGTCCAGCATATTAGTTTTATCTCTTTATTCATTGATATGTATTTAGAGTTATTCTTTGAGATCTTGTAATTGGGAAAAAGGGTTTTGAGTGTTTTATGTATTGGGGTGTGAGAGTTCGTGAGTATTCTCGTTATCATAATTGTATGACTGCAAAGTGTGAGCTTCTAGTGTGAAGCCGAGTGTAGGCACTTCGGGAGTGCTGAGTGTATCTAAGTGTGGGGCTTGGGTTGGGTAGGATAGGGTCCTATCGAGTAGCAAGTATCCTTGGTGGAACTTGTGAGAAAGGTCTGTGTATAATAGGCTGTAATTTGGTATTGCCCTATTATAGTGAAATGTTTGTGTTGAAAATCCCTTAGTGGGTCGAGGTTTTACTTCTAGTTGGGCTCTAACTACTACAAAAATGCTCAAAGAGACCTGACCATTTAAATAAATATGTGGTCTCTTGGATTCAAGAGATCAACTGTTTCAAATAAATGGTCTCTTATGTATAATCTTAGAGATATGAAAACGTACCAAAGACCATCTATTTTAAATAAGTGGTCTCTCCTTCTTTTAAATTAAATAAATTAAAATAGAGACACCATTTATTTAGGAGAAGTGGTCTCCCCTTTTTTTTAATTAAATAAATAAATAAAAGAGAGAGACCATCTATTTACAAAAAGTGGTCTCTTCTTTTTTTAATTAGATATATAAATAAAAGAAAGAACATTCATTTACAAAAGTGGTCTCTCCTTTTTTTAATTATACATATAAAAAAAAGAAAGACCATCCATTTACAAAAGTGGTCTCTCCTTGTTTTTAATTAAATAAATAAATAAATAAATGAGAGACCATCTATTTACAAAAGTGGTCTCTCCTTTTTTTTTTTAGATAAATTAAAAAAAAAATCATCTATTTACAAAGTCAGGGTCCAAAATTTTTTTTTTTTTTTAAAATTAAAACTCCAAAAACTCGGCAAAAAGGAAAATCCAAACCCTAATTTCATTTCCTCAAAAAACCTATACCCCCACCGCCTCTCTCTCCTCTCTCTCTCACTATCTTTTCACCTCAGGCCGAAAATTCGACCAATATCTTCATCGGCGATGCCGAAATCACTCATCCAAACCTCTTCATCAGCCACCACGTCATCACTTTCCGTCGCCTTAACGAAATCATTCATCCAAAGCTCTTCGACGCCGAAATCCGACTCCGATTAAGTGGCTACAGCTTCCTCGCTCTCGCAATCCCTAACCAAATGCTGAAGTTCGTTGATCCCGAGTCTCTGCCGCCGTTGACAGTGCTTCCGACGCTTGAATCCGGCGAAAATCTCACCATCACAACTCCAGACGGTTGCTCGCGGCTTCACTCTCTCGCTCTCACAGTCGCTCCACCAAAGCAAGTCACTCGTTAGTGACATTACGTCGTCGTTGTCACGCTGGTCAACCGCCTACTCTTCCTATCATTCCATTCAAGGTTCGTTCGTTATTTTTTTTTCTGCAAATTATTTTTTAAAATTCGCAGAAATATTTTAAAATTGCGAACACAATTATTTCCATTCCTTAATTCTGCGAATTATTTTTTCCTTTCATTTTCTGCCAATTAATTTTTTCTTCCATTTGACACTAATTTTGTTCCAAGTTTTTTAATATTCGGATCTTTAATTTAAATTCCCATCATTTGATTGGTATGTTTATGACTATTTTAGCCAATATGTTATTCTCAATTCTAGCTAAAATTGTGGGATTTAAAATGCTCTAATATGTTATTCTCAATTCTAGCTGAAATTGTGGGAATTAAAATGGGAATTAAAATGCTCTTTCAGTGAGTTATAGTGGAGTTTTGCTTGTTTTGAGAAATCTTATTCTAGAAATCTGATAAAAGAATATAAAAATTGAATTATGTATGCTAAATTATTGTTTATAAGTCTCTGGCAGAACCTATTTAAGGAATTAGAGTCCTTGTATATGTTGTTCTTTGTGCTACTATCTTGAAGATAATCTGAAGAGTTTTGATTGGTGTTCTTGGTATGAGCTTCTTTAAACTTTCCCATTAAAATTCCAAATTTAGGGTTCTTTTGCATAATTTCTAGTTCAAATCTTAGATTTTGTTTGATTTATAGTGTTTTATTTAATTTAGTGTATTTTAGTTTAATTTAATTTAGTATGGAGTATGGAGTGATGCATCTAGGAAGAAGTGAAGAACCTTAAAATCTAGCAGTGTACTATAGGCATTAGCTAGAGGAATAAAGGGTGAAATCCCTGCTTGATCATGTGCTTTAAGTGTGGTTACTATATGCAAAAAATGTTTAATACTTGTATAATATATTCATCCTTGATAATGATTAAGGTGACAAAGTGAGTCATTTGGCAAGAAGCTATGACTTTTGAAAGTAAAAGGATGAATGTGGGGAGACTCTCAAGTCTCAATGCACATTATGTAATAAGCGGGAATTTATCAAGTATCCAAGTGATAACAAGGGGAAAAAAATGCAAGATTACAATGAGTTTATAACAGTACAAGGCCCTAGTAATACTCTACTTAAAAGTGATCCAGAGTAATCTTATAAGTGTATTGCTTTAGTTCTCTATTGTGGCTTGAATGCCTTAATCCTTCAGCAACACGATGGTAGACGGCTAGAGAAATTAATCAATAAATATTCACTTAGGGATTGGAACGTAAGCAATGCATAATTGATAGATAACATGGCAATTAGCAGTCTTGGCACTTTTAATTTTGAGTCTGAACAATGCCTCATTGAACTCACTTGGTCGTAGCCTAGGAGAGGAGCGATATGTATATATAGGTTATGCCTTCTGATTTTCCAGTTAAATAACCTCACCTTTAACAATAAATGATGGCTGGCTAGCAGCCTACCTCTTACATATCCTACTCTCTTGCAGTGAGTAGGGACACCTTTTTTCATCTAACATTGAATAAGATGCAGGTCTTACACTGAATGTTTGATTATTTCTAAGCATGTCTTATCTCTCAGCACGATGAATGATCTACAAGTGCTACTCAATTTACGTTTTTGTTTGGCATTCCTGATTACTACTGTATATTTGATATAGTTTTGTTTCAAATTTTCATGATTTAGTGGCTTCTCGTTTCACATTGTTCTTTTTAACCCTATTACTAACATGTTTGAACCTCTTTCTATTATTCTTTGAACTTCTGAAGGCCTGCAAGTAGTGGACTCCCAAAGCTTCTTGAAGAGTCAATTTTTGCTAGTTAATGATAAGAGAATGTGTTATGAATTGAACATACTCACGCACACAACACACACTCAAGGGGGCAGCAAGCAAGAGATTACTTTTCATTAACAAGGGAAAATTACAAAAACACAATTAGTTGATAGCTTTAGCCTATCACTCTCTACCAAAAATTACTTAAGGTTATCACTCTCCCTAACAACTTGAGGCTTTCAATCTCACTTTCACAATTTCAATATTCAAAAGACATACCCTTCCTTTCCTCCCCTATTCTTTATATATACAAAACAAGTTAGAAGTAATCTCTTAATGATGTTTGTCTTTTAGTTCTTTTGCTTATCTGATTTTCTTTTCTTTCTCCAAAATTTCAAGGTTGACTCTTTCTCTTAACCCCTAAGACTTCCTTAAGTAGCTTGTCTTCTATCTCCCAATTGGTGTCTTTCTGGTTTCATTGGTCTGTCTGTTTACCTTGCATTTGTTTGACACTTCTGGTTTACGCCTCTTCCTATTGTACACAGCCCACGGTTGTTGAGTCATCACAGAAGGTCTAAACACTATCTGGGAGAGAGGCATCCGATTCCTCAAACATGTTAGCCCATGGCCTAGCTGAGATTGGATGGAGGATGATTGAAGATATCTTGTTCCATTTATGCTCCCCTCCTGGTCTTAACCAGCCCTACATCATGGAACTTGCTAATTCCTTTTCCATTTTAGATGGCAACTGATCGTATGCCTTCTTTTGCTGCTGCTCCTAAGTCCCTGTTGAGGGGATCCCCTATCAACTATCACTTCTACTTTTATTTCATGCTTTTACTTTTAGCTAATCTTTACTTTCAGTCTTTCGGTTGGTTAAGGTTTCTTGGTTTGCAATTTTCAGCTAGTAAGCAAACTTGGAAACTGCTTCTGTTTACAAACTCTGATCTGCTAGATATTTTAACATCTAAGTTGTAATATATTTCCTTTCCTTGTTAAAAAAAATAAAAATAAAAAGTGAGCTAAGGTTGTGGATTGAGGATGCTCATCAATATGCTTTGTTATGTCTGGTTTTTCAGCTTTTGGTCAAATATCTCTCTGATTTACGTCAAAAATAAATAAATAAATTATTCAGTTATTTGATGGCATATGTTATATGTTGCAGGTCTTTCCCTCGATTTGTACATATTCTTCAGAAGACATTGATGAAATGCGAGATTTGTGGATTAAATATGTTCTTGATTGAAGAAGATTCATGATAAATGAGCTTAATGATGAATGAGCTGAGCTTGAGTACGAGATTAGCTTAGTGTTAATCATTATACTTGTGAATTTAGCTCCACTTTTGAACTTTTTTTTTTAGGAAAAGCTCTACTTCTGAGTTTTGTTTTTGAATATTAGAATTAATGTAAATTTTGAGTTAAAATCTGTTGGAGAAAATTAGTTTTTGTATTAAAGCTTTTATATTTATATATATTATATTGAAAATTTATGTATATATATATGTATTAGCGCGCAGGTACAGCAACATATATATTGGCGCCAAAATTTACTATAGGAATATGAATTGCAAAAGGGCAGGAATATAGATAAATATAATTATTTATTTATTTTTTTAAAAAAAGCAACCTCAGAGAGACCACCTATTTTAAATAAATGGTCTCTGCAGACACCCATTTGTGTCTCCCCAAAACCAAACCCAGTGATGAGTACCTTTCACGTCGAATCATAATCGAATGAAACGAAAGTGTGGAAAGTCTAGTGTTGCGGAATTTTTTTATTTCTTTTCTCTTCTTTCTGTTTTTGAAAACTTATTTTAAGAAAACAGCCAATCCAGTTTGGTTGATCCATGATATGGGTCCAATAGTAGTGTAGTTGGATGGAGCTTGCAAATACCTTTCCAACGATATATTATAAGCCCAATTCCGATGAATATTGAGGAAGTTATGACTAATTTACTAAACTGGGCTCGGTTTGAGCTTTATGTACGACCCAATGATCTAGGGGAGGGCCTAATAAGATTTATCATTCCTAATGCAACTAGGAATGGTTTTAGTCTTCTAGATTCTTCTAGAAGGTTCTTTTCATTCCTAATTCAATTAGCATTGATAAATTGACTTTTGTTGACTTTTCAGAGTTTTAATCAAAATCAAATAGCATTTTCGAGAAAATTATATTATTTTATCCTCCAGTACGGTAAACTTATCGGATTTTCGAAAACGCGTTGGAATCAGGCTTGGCGCCTAACCCCAGACCTTGGCGCCAGGAACCAGGCCTGGCGCCTGGCGCTAGTGTTGGTGCCTGGCGCCAGCTAGCCAGGGTTGGCGCCAGCTTTGTTTTCTGAGCGTCAGACTTTGTTTTGTTTAGTTTATCTTTTTGGCTGATTTTCTTTATAAATATCGTATTAAAAACTTCGTTTTCATTTACCATTCATCATCAATTCTCATCTACAATCATTCAATTCATTCATCATCACTCTCTTTCTCTTTTAAAAACTTTGTTTTTGCATACAAAATTCCGCATTCACAAGATCTAGATACACCTAACCATATTCGAATTTGTCTTCGCCCTAAACGTGAAAGGTTTTAATTTCTGAGGGTTTGGTCCCAAATCTCTATTTCAATTATTTAATTTAATTGTTTTGATTATTATTTTCCTTGAAGTTACTAACGTGTGTATTTTGTTATTAGAAAGAGGTACGAGGGATCAAAGTAAGTACTTTAATGGTTTTTATTGATATTATGATGTAGAAATCATGTTTATATTGTTATTATGATATTCCTAGTATCATGTCTAGGGTAATTTTATTATTAAATATGATTGTTATGATGCTTCTTACGTTTTTTCTAATATTTATGATTGTTAGTATCATGTTAGGGCTAAAGATTTGATTTTTATTGCTTAGTGACATGCTAGAGTTTGTTATTAATCTTGTTAGTATCATGACTAGGATCTTGCTATTTTTATTATGCTTTAATATTAACATGAACGTGATTATAATTTATGATGATTATTATTTTGTTGATGATTATTTTATTTATGATTATTATAATTATTATTCATGATATTATTTATTATGTTGCTTGTTTATTTATATTTATTGCTTGATCACACCTTTATGCATGTTTAAAGGGAATTTTTACTTGTCATCACGCTTAATAAGATCTTTAATAATCTTGTTAGGGTTAATTTTAATAATTTCAAGTGATCGCCAATAATAGATTTATTTGTGCATTAAATTCAACCAACATAGATTAAACAGGTTTAGGGTTAATCCTATTGGTTGCATGTTAGTCAGAAAGCGCACATGAATACGATCAGAATAAAGTAGAGGCCTATTATTAGGGCAGGTTCAATCTCTTTTAAGTTGGATTTGTACCTTCATCCCCGAACCCTTATTTGGTTCAAGACCTTATGGAGTTGACGATCTCTTGGATCGTTAAGGGGTGTAACCTTCACCTCGTGAACGGCTTACAAGTTCCTAAAAAAAACTTGTTGGCGACTCTTTTGCTCTATCTTCTTCCCTTTTGGACGCCACCGTACTTTAGTGTATGATCACAGTGGGGTTCAAGCTAGTGGGATTTAAGGCTTGAAATTATTCCCTACAGTTTTTTGGCGACTCCACTGGGGAGGATTTCTATTTTAATTCCTGAATTTGTTTCGGCAATTATTTAGAATGAGTGGATGAGACTCGAAAAGTTCTAAGTATTTCATGTGCGTAATTTTGATTAACATTATTGTCATATGCATAAAAAAGATCTCATTGGAAAGACCATCCGTAATGAATTAAAAACATAGGATTTTACACGTAGGAAATTTGAGAAATATCTTTCACAACTAGGACTGAAATAACACCGCGCGAAACTGGAAAATCTTATCGAGCACAGAAAGCTGCTGAGACATGTGGGAAGTAGCGTTAGGGGCCAGAGCTTGGCGCCAGACTTTTAGCCGTAGCACCAGACGCCAGTATTGGCGCCAGGCGCTACAGTTAAAAGCTGGCACCAGTCTCTGATTGCTGACGCCAATTTCCCCAATACCGAGCCAGAAATATGCGTTCTAATTTCGACCGGTTTTTTCGTATTGTTTGCTCGATCCTACTTCCTAATTGAATTTTTTCTCACTTTTCTGAAACCCATATGTGTTCTACATATGGACATAACCCTCTGGGAATTCATGCTCCATCTACCCGATTGAACGCTTTGTGCAACAAAAGGGTACATCCGAGATGTTGAATTCACCAAACCATGGAAGCGAGTTTTTTCTAAAAACTCGCGATGTCCTATCCACTCGCGCCAACCCTTCACGGTTAGGATTCCGCGCGGTGCATCCGGACAATTAACCATGGACCCTCTATTGACTAAACCATATCCCGAACTTCAGAGAACTAGAGCCATGGTTAGGTTGCAAAATCATTGCATCGTGTTGTGCCTACTTGACTAATTGGGCATTATTTGTTGTGCATATATATTCTATGTTTCTCTTAATCGTTTTTTGACTTGTGTTGAGATTAAATAAATGAATGACTAAAAGAACTTTGCCTAATTAATTAATTAATTAATGTGAGCCAATAAAGTCTAATATTTTAATCGGAATTGACCTAGTACGACTTTAGGCATGCCCCAGTTGACTAATAACACCGAAAACAGTCCCAGACCGAAGCTCCAATATTGGCGCCAAGGTCTGAGCTGTAGCGCCACTATATGGAGTGTAGCGCCTGACGACAGTTCTGTCGCCTGGCGCCAAGATCCACATTGTGAGGCAGTCCTGTCGTTTGGCCGACAGTTCGGATTATTGGTCAAGTCATCACCTAGGGTCTAATCAATTAGTTTTCTGTTTAATTCGGTTAATTTTGATGTCAATAACATTTAATTGAATCAATGATCGAGTTTAGACACTAAGTCCCATGGTCTTACACAAGAGTCCAAGCATGTCATTTACACTCAACGCACACACCAATACTCATACTTTGACCATAAGAGAGTCTTGTGTGCGCGTTTTTTCCGTCATTTTTTTAGGGGGGTAAGTCGGATATTGATCCTCCAATAAAGATAATAATACTTAGTTCCCTAAAAATATGTACATTATTTTTGCCAAAAACATGCACCCTTTTTCAATCTTTTTCCCTTAAAATAAACCATAAAGTCAAGTTGATTCTAGTCAAGTAATTAAAACGCAAAATGGTTTAATTTACAGCGCGTGGTCAAGAAAGGAAGGACGGTTAATCAAAGATAACCTCTTCGTACAAGTCCAACTTTTCGACAAACCTATAGCTCGCAAGAGGAAAGCAAGGGTTATAATGGCAACTCAAGAAGAAGTCAATGATCTTAAGAACCAACTAGCTACTGTGACTGAGACACTGAAACTTCTCGCACTTAGTATCGATGATCCCGTGAAGCAACAACAGATGGACCTCATGCAAGAGAGTTTAATCAAGTTGTCCAGCGACTACAATTTTCAAGAGCATACATCACAAGGGGTCTCGGTGGACAAAGATCTTCTTCCGCAGAAGTTCAAAGCCAACGACATCCCAAAATTCAGAGCAATTGACAACCCATACTTCCATTTAAGAGCATTTGAAACAATAATGAGTATCAAGGGTATCGATAAGAAGGTCTTTCCTTCTCTTTTCTCACTATCTCTCGAGACCGTTTGCCAACAATGGTTCTTTTCTCTCGAGGAAGAAAAGACCTCTGCCTGGGAGTCTATAGCAAACGCTTTCGTAGATAGGTACAAGTGCAACATTCAAGTCGAGACTAACCATAGAGAACTTGAAATCCTCAAGCAGAAAGAGAATGAAGGCTTCACCTCTTTCTTTAAAAAGTGGAGAGAAACCTCAGCTAAGATGATTGAGGTTCCAAGTGAAAAAGAGTTTGTGAGACTGTTTATCAAAAATCTCCAAGAAAAATATTCCAAGCATCTGAAATATCAAAATGATCTCCATACCTTCAAGGCCGTTTATGACATTGGGATCAATATTGAAGATGACTTGGCTAAGTCAAAAGCTGCCAACAATAACTCCAACAGTGGCTGGAAAGGAAAAAAGAACGACAATCCTTCTTCTTCCAAAACCGCCCACTCAAATAATGTTAGCACCTTTAATTTAGGAGAAGTTCTTTCCATGAACAACCAAGGACAGAAGAAACCATTTAGGAGGAGCTTCACTCCTATTGGCATGAGTTATGACACCGCATTCGATCGATTAAATGCAAAAGGTCTCATAACTCCCATTGGGCCATTTGGAGACCCACCAGTTGAGAAGAGGTCGGTTAACTGGAACCCTAATGCACACTGCAAGTATCACCAAGGCAGGGGCCATTCCACTGAAAGCTGTTGGAAGCTTAAGGAAGCTATCCAAGACCTAATCGACAATAACAAACTGCCGTTGCCCCCTGCCAGTAAGAAGCCAAGTATCGACAATGCACCTCTAGCTCATACCTTAGCTATCTCCGATGAGAAAAACGAGGTTGACCCT